CCGGACTAAGAACACTTTGTTTCTGCCTGGCGCAACACGAGCGTCTGACGGCCGAGCCGACTACTTATGGGTCGGAACTTTGAACTTTCGGAGTTTGTGGAGGCCTGAGCGATGTGCATGTGCAGGTCGGGCGAGACGCTACACGGGTGAGAGGCCCCGTTATACTGCCCGTTTGGAGCCCGTCCCGGGCGCACGCCGACCGGCTTCGGTAACGCTTCGGACGGCTGGGTGCGCCGGGTGCGTAGGCAACCCAACGTGCGCGCGCGTCGGGCGAGCGGCACGCGGCTGTGTGACGGGCGCTACCGATGGGTCTGTGTTCAGGGTAACCCTGCCACCGCAAACATCAGGGAGGACAGGAGCATTATGTTCGGAGCTCCCGGATTTTTCGACTCCCAGACGCGATCTTGGTTACGGCCCCCAAAATGTTAGTGTTTTGTAAGCCCTTTTGCAGACAAATCACTAACATTTTGGGGACTGGAAACTGGAAGTCAAAAGGTCCGGACGCTCCGTATAATGCCCCTCCAAAAAAAATCGTCACAATGTTCTCATCAAACAACACTACTGCTGCATCCATATCAGAATGGCAGTGTGCAATCTGTCGCAACGCGGCTGGACCAACGACGCAGTCGTATGGGAGGTCCCCCACCGCGGCAAGGACTTTCTCTCGTTGGGTGCGCGCGGGACGCGCCGCGTGTGGCGGTGGTGGGCAGCGCGCGGGGTGGGGCGGGGTCGCTGAAGGTGGTAGAGCGGGGTGAGGATTAGCGCCCCACGCCGCCGCGACGCCCCGGCCCGTGATTCGCTGCCGCTACCCCGCGGCCGCCCGCATGTGCGCCCCGCAGGTGCGCGGGGTATCGCCTGCGCCGCCCGGATCCGCGACGCACCGCTCCGGCGGCCTGCGTGCCGTGCACCCGGCGCGCGTGAGTCATAAAGCCAGCCGCGGTAAAAGAGGCCACTAGAAAGGGAATTCCGTTCCGTTTCCGACCGCTCGCGCGAGTGCGCGCGTTCGGCCGCCCCTCTCGCCGAGTGACAACACCGCTGACGCCGCCATGGCAAAACCCCCCCACCGACGACGACGACGTCGATAACACACCATAGTCGCGCGCCGCCGTGCCGACCACCATACTGCCGTCGTGGATGACAAAACCATTAGTTCCCCGCTTCGATTTTTTGTTATCGGCCCTTTTAGTTTTTCCTCGTTGAGACATTCGTCGGGGCCCGCCCGATATCGCGAACCAGACGCAGGCAGATAACCCGGCGTAAAGTTCGGACTGCTGTGCCCGTCAGCTGAGTGGAGGGGTTGCCGCAGTTTTCTGTCGAAGCTCTTGGCCGAGGCGGGTGCGCCAAAAGAGTACGACGTGCGCGAGAGAGGCTTTTCTATATCCATTGGGCAACCGCTGTGGGCTTCCGCGCCCCTCCTCCTTGACGGCCTGTGGGCTGACGTGTGCCGCCAGCCAGTCCGCCCCCCTCCTCCCTCTCTTCCCCTCCAGGCCTCGCGCGATATGTGCACAATAATGAAATGGAATAAGTTTCCACTTTCTCCCCGGCACACACGCCAAGAACGGTACGGCACGACGAGACGCGCGGGGTGGGTGAGATGGAGGGGGGGGGGGGGGGGCACAGCCCGCGCGTGCTGTCTCTATAACACACACACACACACACACACACACACACACACACACAAACACACACATACATACATACATACATACATACACACACACAAGAGATCTTATATGACCTGTGACCTCCGACTGTTAGGCTGATGAATGGACATGGAGGATTCACCGTCATAATGTCATTATCGGGCCACTAAAAAAGGCCCTCATTTTAGAAGCGATACTCTGCTTGATGCACGCGCGACAAGCGGGTCTGCCTATCGTCTCTAACCAAGGCGGGCGGGCGTTGCCTGTATCGGGTGTCCCGGCTCTTACATGCTAGTATGATGGGTTGCATGCGCGCTGGCTCGCAGGCGCTGTCGGAAACGCGCAGGATTTCGCACCATCGCTTCTAAAGTGAGGGCGTTTCTCAGTGGCCCGATAGTGACATGACAAGCGATACTGTGCTTGATGCACGCTTGTCCATTCATCAGCCTAACAGTCAGAGGTCCCAAACGAAATTTTCGGAGATGAATGAGTTGCATGCAATGAATGAATCGCCGCGCAGCAGGGGAGGTATGGTGGTGGAGTGGGGAGGTGTGGCGTAAGGCCGGGGTGTATGACACGCGGGCTGACGTCGTCGGGCACAAGGTGGCGGGGCGGGGGCGTTACGTCGCGGCCCGGATAGGCACCCCGCCACCGCCCCGCCCCGCCCCGCCGCCGCTACCCGGATTTGTATTTTGTCGGCACGGCCGCCGCGCCCCGCCCCACCACGGATGGGTGCGCGCCGCCGACGCCAACGCCAACGTCGCCGCGCCGGGGACAGTTTGTTGTCCTTCTCCCTCCGGGGCGCGGCGGAGGGGTCGAGAGCGACAGGGACAGAGAGAGAGAGGGTCGCCGCCGAGGACTCGAGTCGCGCGGATGGCCGCGTAACGCTATGATGACACCCGTAACCCTTTGGCAGGGCGCAACTCATTCCACTCACGCCCCGCCCCGCCCCGCCACGTCACCGACAGAGAAGGACAGACGCCTCAGGTCCGGGCCAGACAATGACGCACAAGACAGGGGGCCCCCCGGGCCGCCGCAGCGCCGGTACGAGGGGACGCCGAAGGGAAGGGCCGTGGAAGGGACGCATACGATCAGTGGGCAGGCGGGCTGGGCCAGGTACTTGAAATTCACCTGTAAGGCACCTGTAAGGCCGCTCAACAGGTGCTGGCCGCGCGGGCGGTGGCGGCGCCTGCCGGCTGGGCCTGGAACCTCTCCAGGCCCTTCCCCGCCCCTTCCCTGGTCCCCTTCACCGCGCCCTCCAGGCCGGCCCTCCAGGTCGTCCGCCCCGCGGCGAGCCCACGACGACGACGACGCCGAGCCCGATGAGACCCGAACGCGGGCCGGCCGAGCCGAGCCCAGCCGAGCGAGCCCAGCCGAGCGAGCGTTGACTTCAAGCCGAAGCAAGAGGAGGGGGACGGGGAGGAGCTCCGGCAGCGGGGCCCCGCCGCGCCCCGCGCGCCCCGCACCGCCCGGCCGGACCGCGCGGGGCACAGGAGAGCCAGTGAATCGCCTGCCAGGTCCCAGGTAAGGACCGAGAGAGGACGGGAGAACGAGCGCGCGCGCGCCGCACCGGCGACAAGTTGTGAACCAGTGGATTACCGACCAAGTGTGCGTGTGCGACAGTGTGCGTGGGTGTGAGTGTGCGCGAGGAGAAAGTGCCGAGACAAATATTTGGGATACGCTCCGAATATACCCGACCGCGGGCCCTGTGTGCACCCCGATGTGAGTGTGATTCAGTGTGTTGTTGGTGTTCAGTGATTGTGAATGGGTGTGAAGTGACAAGTGCACAACCTGCCGAATCGCGCGACCGCCGCCCGATTCGCCATCATCATCGCTGGGATATTCGCAACGCTCGGATTGGCCACACTCTAAGGATACCTTCCCCGCGCCTCCAGCAGGTACTGTAACCAGCGAGTCACGGCCTGACTGGCAAAAGTGAAACGGTAATAGCGAAGCGGGCACACCCGGAGGTGGCGCCCGGCCCCGGCAGGAACACCCGCAGGCCCCCGCAGGAACACCCGCAGGCCCCCGCAGGAACACCCGCGGAACCTGCAACCCCGCCCCGCCCCGCGGACACCTGTAGGGCATGCGAGCGCCACGCCCCGCCACGGCCCCCAGGAAGATAGGCCGCTCCATTCCCAAGCCACCTGTCACGCTCATTCTGAAGGGCCAAACCTCGTCGAGAGGGGGGAGGGGGGAAGTACTAATAGTAGGTCCACCTCGGTGTCCTCCGCGGAGTGTGAGTAAAGGATACACCGCAGCTGCCGCAGCTGCAGGTGGCGGCGCAGGTCCGCCCGCCGCCGCCGCCGCCGCCACCACCGCCGCCCCTCCGCCGCGGCCGCAGCCGCGTTGCCGAAAGTGTGCCACGGAGCTTGAAGAGAGCCGGGCCGTGCGGCGCGCGGCGGGGAGGAGGAGGAGGAGAAGGAGGAGGAGACGGAGGAGAGCCAGAGCGCGGCCGGCCAGGCTCCGGGGAGGAATGCTGTGCAGCCCGGCCGGCCCGTCAGGTATTGCTGCCCTGCCCTGCCGTGTCCTGCCCTGCCCGGCTCTGGACCAGATCTCATGCGAGCCAGTGGCGTGCCTCCCGTGGCAGGCAAGCGGCGGCAGCAGCAGCAGCGGGGGAGGATTGAAATATCTGCAGTGCAAAAAAGAGAACACACACATACACACACACACGTACGCTCACACATCCACACGGGCCCTCCTGCTGAGGTTAGGTAGACGGGAGGCGGGGGAACCCTGCATGGCTCATGCGAGAACCTCACCCTCCTCAGGTTGGGCTCTGCGGCAAGCCAGGTGAGACGGTGGTGATGCAAAAAAATGAGGAGGGGGACGGGCTCTTCCGGCTTGCTTGCAATACAACAAAGGAGTGACTCCACACCCCACTGTGTGTAGCCAAGGCTCATCCTTCGTCGCCCATACAGTATATCTCCCCCTTGCATCACGACCAGGGCCAGGGCGTGCACGGTCGTTATTCCCTGGAATCTGCAGCAACCCCCTCGGCCCAGCAAAGGCTCCGATACGCAGATGCGAGCGACGAAAAAGAAGAGTGAGAAAAAACACATGTTGTCGCTCACGGTGAGGTATGGTTGTCCGCCATGAGGCTCTGTGCTCGGTCGGCACTTGCCGGTATGCAACAAGGCAGAAACAGCGGCAGGCAAAAAATAAAAACCGACACCACCACCACCACCACGGTGCCATGGGCAGAGGGGGGGCGGATCTCGGGCGGGCGGGAAGAGGAGGGGCAGCTGGAGCAAATTGACCGTAACCATTACTTTCCTCCGAGAGCAGCGCGGTGCGCAGCGCGGTGCGCAGCGCGGCGCGCAGCGCGGCGCGCAGCGCGGCCGGCGGGTGGATCCAGGTGGATCCTGCAGAGAGCGGGGCACCTGGATGCCCCAACAAAACGCACCCAAACTCTCCAGACCATGCCACAAGCTCGGCGTCCTGTCCTCTGGGAACAGCAAGGTGCCGGCCGCAGGTCGCAGCCATCGAGGCCGCGGGGGAGGTGCCAGGCTAGGCTGGGGCCGTCACATCAGTGTAGGGGATGCGGACGAGGTAGAGCCATGATCTGGGTCGAGCGTCTCGCACGCACTTGTTGTTTTTCGGGTGCGCTTCGGGGTGTTGTGGTGCCGGGGAGGGGGAGAGACGCCGCCGTCGCGCGACAACACTCCGCGCCTCGTCAGCCAGCCACAGTCACTTGCACTTGGCGGCGGCGCCGGGCCGACGACCATAGCCGGTGCCGTAACGTGCCCAAGCAAAGAGGCAGGCGGGCTCGCGGGTCTTAATTTGGGATTCAGACCGGCGACGTAGAAAGTGCACCGGCATGCAGCTTGCGGGAGGAGAGGGAGGTGGTGGAGGAGGGGACGCCAGACGTCGTGACGGAGTGCCGCGCTGGGGCGGGCGACAACGCGCCACAGCGAGTAACGCGCGCCTAATTAATGAAGCACGATCATCCCCCTCAGCACCACCTCCTCGTCTATCCTCTTCGCCTCTCTTGAATCTCTCCACACACCACGCTAGCCATGGCCCGCCCTCGCTGATTGGCTCCTTGTTTAGACAGAGAGCCGCGACCACCTTGGTCGCGTGCGTGCGCGTCTCCCCCGCCCCGCCCCCGCCCCACCGAGCCCCGCCCCGCCTCGCCCACCACCACGACCACGGCAACTGAAAGCGTTGACGAGAACACACACCACGCACCTGGACGACCGCTGCTGCTGCTGATCGCTTTGAGCCTTTTGTTTTCCGCTCAGCAAAGAGCTCGTGAATGGCACGCCGCCCCGCCCGGCGGCCGCTAGCTGGCACTGTTAAAAATGAGAAAGCAGATTAAAAAGGTTAACACGGTCGCGTCCTTGGCCGTGGCCGGAGCAGGGGGAGGACGAGGTTATTGACGGGGACGTCGTAATTCTCGTTATTTATTTACCCCTCGTGATCGTGTTGGCCGCTCGCAGTGCCCCGGCGGTATGCCCCCCCGGAGCCCCATCGGGGGTCCTCGAGGTGATGATAATCTGACGGGGGCCTCGGCAGGGCGCGGCGGGGCGCGGCGGGGCGCGCGGGTCGGATCAGGTGAGCCCCCCGGACGTGATTTACGGCTTCATTGCGTCGCGGCTCAGCTCGCCGACGCCGCCCTTACGTTCTTGCGTGTTCAACAGTTTTCCTGCGGCCCCGCAAACCCAAGAGGTGAAACAAGAGGAAAAATAGACAGCTTTATGAACTAGGGTCAGAGTCAAAAGTTCACCAAAGTTCATCGAAGTTTTTTCTAAAAGCAAATGCACCGACGTTCAAGTCTATTTAGATATACCCTTGATCCTTGAGGCGAAATAGCCCTTTTATTATGGAGTCACTCGTATCGTAACTCACATGCACTCTAACCGTCTCCCTGGTTTTACAGACTTCTTGCGATAGTGATTTAACACCTTATTCTTAGAGGTGCTGAGGAATTTGTAAACGTGATTGTGTCAGGATGTAGTAGACTCGCTCCATCCCTCTATCTTTTCGTGTGAGTCCCAGTGTGCTGCCATATCCCAAGTCCGTTATAACGGAAAACACAGCACCCATACCTTTACCCCAAGATAGTTTTCTGATGCCGGCTTATCCCCAATGCTCAGCGACAGAAGAGGCGAGTCATTGACCACAGTAGCGCTCGTCCGCGGAGAGCGAGAGAGAGGGAGATGAGAAGGAGAAGGTCCTGCGGCTGCTTCTGTAAGTCAAAACAAACGCAGGGGCTGTGGAGCGGCGGTGCGGCGGTGCGGCGGCAGCCGAGGTAGCCGATGAGCCGTAGATCCGTTTGTTTGGAATGCCTCTTGCTCAGCTGGACCCCGCGCACAGTGCACTTGCCACCGACAGTGGTTTGGGACTTCCCGCCGCGAAAGTAACAGCCGGCTGCCGTAGCAGTAGTAGTTGTAGCAGCAGCAGCAGTAGTGCAGCTACAACGGCACCCTGCTGCGACCCTCGGCGCGTCCCTTCACCTTCGGGTGCGGGCATGGTGGCTCTGGCCCGGCGTTGTTGCTGGACCGCGCGCCAGACACGGGCCGACGGGCCGTCCCCGGCGTGTGGGAGTCACTCTCCTTTCTCCCGGCCTGGCGCCGAGCCACGTGACGGAAGCGGCCCGGGACACTGTCACGAAACGACGAGCGGAATGGTTGAGCGTCATTCCCTGCTGTCCCCGCTGCTGCTCCGCCGCGCCGAGAGTGCCGCCGCATAAGCGGCACGTTACGCGCGACGCGACGGGACCCTCGTTGTTTGGTTTGCGTCCTTTTTTCTATTTTTACGCGCGTTTTCCCACGGCTTTCCGATGCACGCCGGCCACGACGGCGGAGACGCCTTGCCGGCCGCTGCGCTGCGATTTTCATTTCACTTGAGTCACGTTGTGCGTGGTGGGGCGGGGCGTGGGGTTCTGAACAGTGCGGCTTGGGGGTGGAGTCCGCGGCCCGCCACGCCTCGCCACAGCTCGCGACCACCGGCTTTGAGTCGAGGCGGGGCGCTGATCCCTTGCGAATCGGTGTCCATGGGAAGTCGAGCAGTAGTCCGCTTGATAGGCGGCGGGGCGCGGCGGCAGGGCGACAACGACGCCCGCAGGTGCCGCTAAGCCGAACGGCTCCGCGGTGGTGGTGTGCCGGGCGCCCCGCGCACCGCCCCGCTGCTCAAACGGGGCCTCTCTCTTCCTCTCTTTCTCTGGCTCGCCTTGGAAGTAAGAAAGAAAGAAAAGAAAGAAAAGGGGGAATCGATGTAAGAGAGCAGAGCAGCGCAGCGCCGCGCCGCGGGGCCCTGAAAGGGCGCGCCCCGCCGTCATTAGACATCCCGGCCGCTGTCACGAATCTCTTGGCCCCGTCACGAAACTGGCTGCGCTCCCCGCGGTGGCGGCGCTGCACGGCGGCGCAGGAAGTTGAAGAGGGATTACCGGGCCGGGCGCGGCAGTCACATCACCGGCAGGCCCTGGCCCTGGCTGCTCGAGCAGAGCAGGAGGATCAGGATCACGAGCGTCCAGGAGAGGGGTATAACCTGCTGCTGCTGCCGCCCCACCTGGGCGCGGCGGCGGCGGCGGCGGCGGCGCCACTGCTGCTCGGGGAGAACAGTTAGGGCATGACGTCAAACGCGAGTCGCCGGGGAGTTCCTCGCCAGGGCCTCGGATGGCGGCGGCGGGGTGGTGGCGTGGCGCTCGTCCAAGCCGAGAGGAATGTGTGTGTGTGAGTGTGTGCGTGTGTGCGTGTGTGTCGTGCGCCCCCCCCCCCTTCCCCCTTAAAAATTTGCCAAATTACAGCGGCACCGGCAGCGAAGGAGGAAGAGAGGCGTGGCCTTCAACACGGCTGCGGGGAGCGCGCGCCGCCACACTGCCTCTGGGTGGGGCCGGGACCTGTTGTGGTGGCCGCTGTTTGGGGCCACGGGCGGGGCGGGGCGAGGGAGGTAAGCCGGTCCCGCTAGGCGAGCAGGTCGCGGCCGCCGCGGGCGCGCGCGCGCGGACCCTGCTGGGCAAAGGCAATGACTGGGCAGAGGGGCGGACCGTGCCGGCGCGTCCTTTTGCGTCACTTTACTCAACCGTGTGTTGGGTTGTTCTGGACGAGATTGTCCGCCGATCCTGGAAAGTGTCGTCATCGCGCGCCCCTCCCACCTTCCCCGTCCTTCCCTTTCATACTCCGCGTACGCACCAGGTTGCATGGGGTGACTCGCACACAGTTACACTACCCCCCCCCCCTTAAATACGTAGGTACAGACAGACAGATAAACAGATAGACAGATAGACAGATAGACAGACAGACAGATAGACACACAAACACACACACACACACACACACACACACACACACACGGCGGCTCGGGCGATTCGTTCGTGAACCACGGTCCGATTCCGCCCGAATTCATTAACTGAACTCTCCTTTCGGCCCAATTAATCAGCCCCCTAGAGCGCCCCGCCCCCGCCCTCGGGCCCCCGCCTCCGCCCCCGCCCCCGGGCCGCCGCCGTGCACCGTACCGTGCAGCAGCAACAGCAGGGTTGGAGCACGAGGAAGGAGCGGCTTTGGGTAATTAAGGAGTCTCACACCAGCAGCTTCTGCGGTTCATATCGCCAATTAACCATCAACGCGCATGGAAACATTTTTCACAACAACCATATACGGATTTTGCGATTCATAGTGGTTTTTTTTCTCCTTTTCTTTCTTTCCCCGTGCGTCGGCTTGGCGCGGCTGTTATGACTGATGTGCACGTCTGTTCTGTGCTAGCTCCCCCCTCTCCCCTTTCCCCCCGCGGAGCTTTCCCCGCCTGAAATACGAATCCTATGCCACGCCACGGCAGTTGTTGGGGAGACAAGAGAAGGGGCCGGCGCCGGCATTGTGCTGCCCGGCCATGGAGCGTCATGAGCGGGCAGAGCGGGGCGGAGCGGGCGCCACGCGACAGGAGACGACGGCGCGGGCGTGCCGGCGCTCTCGTTACCGCCCCGCCCCGCCCCGCCGGTACTTTGCAAAGTGTATCGCCTTGCCGCTCATGCATGCCTAAGGCCCCATTACACCTTCCCGCTGGCTGTCCGGCCCGACCCGGTCGCCGACTATAGAGGCTCCCGCTAAGAAGCGCTAAATGATCGTGTCCATGTGGCCAGTGTGGCAGTGATGGCCTCTCTGGCCCGGCCCGGTCCGGTCAGGCCAGGCCAGGCCCCGCGGAGATTTGAATGCCTGGCATGCCATGAGCTCGCGGCGCGCGGTGGTGATGTCTGGGCGTGGTGGGGCGGGGCGTGGCGGGCAGAGGAGCGCTGCTCCCGAGGAGGACGGCGGCGACCGCGACGCCGCGTAGCTGACGTAACGCAAGCGCGCCACGCTAAAGCGAGGACCATCATGGTGATTCTCTGCACTACAAATCAGAGAAAACAAAAAACTGCTCCCACAAACTCAACGCAGTAGCACTTTTTCGCTATACGATAAATCGACTGACGAGATGTTGTTTCTCTGTTTCCAGGCCCACGCGTCCTGCAACCATGCGCGAGCGCGCCCCTCGCCGACGGGCGCCCTGGAGCTGAGCCCGTGTGTGTGTGAGAGAGGGGGAGGGAGAAAGGAGTGAGTGCGAGTGTGTTGCGCGCGCGTGGAGGGAGCGGTGCAGTGCAGTGAGTGATATGCCATTATGAAGGCCCTGCCATGAAGACGAGCAAGAGGAACAAAAAAATGGAATCCAAGATGGCGGCGCTGCTGGCGCTGCTGGTCGTCGCGGTGCTCTCAGCAGGTGAGTACGGTGGTAACAATCACTCGCCCATTCGTCGCCCGCCACCATAGTACAGCGCGGGGTCCTTCCTCTTTCCCGAAAATGTAAGAAATTTGTGCCGCGTCAGATTCCGTCGCTCTTCGTAATGCCCATAGCCGACACCACCGCGCCGCGCGGAGAAACCGCTCTGACTCGGCAAGTCTCTCGTATTATTTCTTAAAAGGCGAGAGGCCAGCGGCCGCGTTATTACGTCAAATACTCGGGAAAAGGGCAGCAAAGGGCGCTGACTCCGCGCGGGGCCCGGTCCTCTGACACTTATGGCCTGGCACGGCAGGGGGCGGAGCAGAGAGGCGGGGGGATTTATGACGGGTGTGTGTGCGTGGGTGTGAAGCCCTGTCACCGCCAGGTGCCACATCCACTTGGGCCCCACCACGCCCCGCCCCGCCCCACCGTGCTCGTGGTGGTGGGGTTGTCGCCCTCTCACAAGGGCCCTGGCCCGCGGCCCCCCGCCCATCCATATGCATACACGTCCTCCTCCTGGAGTCCCTCCACGAGGCCCTTGTGGAACCCGTATCCTGTGCGCGGGCAGGCAGGCCTCCACCAAGACGACAGGATATAGTGTCGTTGTGACTGAAAAAAAAAAAACGTTTTCGGAAAGCTTTTTCTTTTTGGAATGATAAGGACTCGGATAGGGAGATTCTCGCGTGTTGGTAACCCTACCTCCGTACACGGACGCACCACGCCACCCCAGCACAGGCTGTACTGCGCAAGTTGTTTCGCTATTCGTGACGATGTAGTGCCTTGTCGCGGACTTGTCCTCCCTGGAATGCGGCGCGCGGAGGTGTGCCCGGGCCCGGGCCCGGGTCCGGCCGCGTGCAGTGCAGGCTCCGCCAGGCCTCCGCCCGGGCTCTGCAGTCTGCAGGGGTCGGGGGTCACGGGGGTCTCTGCGCGCGCCAAGGACACTTACTATACGCCAGCAACCACCAACAACACGACAAGGAAAAGTCCAAGCCTTTTGAAAGTCAAGACGACGACCTTTCGCATGCCCCCGCCGCCGCCCCGCCCGTCCTGTTGTGCACCACCGCCACGAGCAAGAGGAGAATAAAGTTTAAAAAACGTAGCGACGACGACTGGGTGCTGCTGGAGGGGCCCTTATTGTGATGCACTCTGAGCTGAGCACCGCGCTCTCCCCACTGTGCCGGCCGCGGGCGCTACCGGCGCGGTGGGAAACGAGCAGGCAAAACTAAAGTTGAAAAAAAAAAAAACTCTGGCACTTCCTATTTGGCCGCCTCACTCACATCTCACATCCATATTCATACTGCAGGGCTGGCTGTCACGGGGGGCAGCAGCCCGGCGCCGCCGCCGCCACCACCCCGCGCGGCACGGACCGATAGCCCTGGTAGCCAGCCCGCGAGCTCCTCGCCGAGCTCAGCGTCCTGAAAACGTCGGGTTCCGTTACACTCGGTGTGGCCTGTGGCAGACGAGGGCTTTGGGGGACCCACCACCGCTGCCCTGCGGCGCTCTGCGGCCAGCGACGGCCCTCTTTGGCACACGGGGTGATGGAAATGGAAGCGGACCGTATAGCAGCGGGGGCGGCGCAACCCAGGAGTGTCCGGGAGGGACGGCGAACAAGAGAGTGGGAGAGAAGGAGAGGAAAATGGAGACGGGGAGATCGAGATCACGGTACTCTCACTCGTGGCCGTGGTGCTACTCAGTGTACGTCGGTCTCTGTCTGTGATTGGCCTTTCGCACCGCACGCCGCACGCGCCCGCTGGGCTGCAGCAAGCTTGCCAGTCGTTCGTTAGTCGACGGACGGCCGGCGGGCTCGGGCCTCGGGATACCGTCCCGAGCGCAGGCGTGTCTGTGTGTTGCCTACCCGGTACGGCGCTGGGACTGTGAGCGAGCCTGTGATACTAGCCCGAGCACAGGCGTGTGCGCGTATTGCCTACCCGGTACGGCGCTGTGACTGTGAGCAAGCCCGAGATACGATACTATCCCGAGCGCAGGCATGTGCGCGTGTTGCCTACCACATACGGCGCTCTCTGACTGTGAGCAAGCCCGAGATACTATCCCGAGAGCAGGAATGTGCGCGTGGTGCCTACCCCACACGGCGCTGTGACTGTTAGCCAGCCCGCGGAAACTCTAACTGACTAATTTTTCATTTTATTTCCTGGCGAAGAACGTCCACTGCATCCCGGCCATGCCATGCCTCCTGGTGCGTATGTACCGGAGAATAAGGACCTTCCGAAACAGTGAGCACCGCCGATCCACCTCTCTTCGGGCGTCCCCGCGCCCGTGGTGGAACTAGCGTCGCCCGGCGTGGCCGTGGCGTCATTTTGCGTATGAAAGGCCGACGCCGCCGCCAGGGCCGCGGGGGAAGGGGCGG